ATCTGCATCACCACTGTTGAATGGGAAGAAATCATGATTTACTCAACATTATAAAAAAGATCTTTCCCAGACAGTGATGCTACGAAAACATATCTGTGGTTGTAAATGGTACAGTGATACCGACAAGCTGTGGATAGCTCAGAACATTTATTAATCAATAAGTGTCCTGGACTATACACGTATCCTTATCCACACAATATACAGCTACTTTTTAAATGTAAAAAAATGAGAAACTCCTTTTATTCAAGCAAGTGGTATTGTAAACAAGATTATTTTTGTTTTACAATGAATGACCATTTTATTATGTATACACGGACATCAGGTCGTTAATGCAAATATCCACTCAGGTAATCACGTGGTAGTACCTTAATACCTAACAGCATGCAAACATGGTCAAGGGGGTTCAGTAGTTGTTCAGAGCAGACACCAGAATGGGGACGAAATGTGATCTAAGTGACACTGACCATGGAATGAGTGTTAGTGCCAGACAGATGGGGTGGCTTGAGTATCTCAGAAACTGCTGAGCTTATGGGATTTTCGTGCACAGCAGTCTTTAGAGTCTACAGAGAATGGTGTGAAAAATACAAAACGTCTCTGAATACACAACACGTCGAACCTTGAAGTGGATGGGTTACAGCAGCAGAAGACCACACCGGGTTTCACTCTTTTGTTACCTAAGAATAGGAAACCGAGGCTACATTGGACACAAGCTCACCAAAACTGGATAGATGAAAATTGGAAAACGACGCCTGGTCTGATGAATCGCGATTTCTGTTGCGACATGTTTATGGTAGGATCACAATTTGGCGTAAATATCTGACATGTGGTGGAACGGGAGAGCGGAATGTGCGGCCGAAAATCTGCAACAACTGCGTAATGCCTCCATGTCAATGTAGATCAGAATCTCTAAAGGATATCCAGCACCTTGTTGAATCCATGCCACGAAGAATTCAGGCTGTTCTGGGGGCAAATAGGGACCCTATCTGGTACAAGAAGGGCGTACCTAATAAAGTGGCCACTAAGTGTATATAATAAATATATATGTTGCACAAATTAAAAAACCAATTTCTTAAGAGTAATAATTAAGGAATATATATGATTTACAACACTAGAACCGTGGAGCTAGTTATGGGTTGAACACAAAGAGCGTAAAAGGATGTAATTATTAGTTTAATATGTCTTCGTTAGGTGGACATGAAGTCATTAATTGCCTATTCTTTAGTGGCTCATAGAGGGTTGGTTTTAAGAGGTATTATTGCAAAGAGGAGTTGAGGTTTGAATGGGGCATTAGTGGCGGTGGTAGGGCACGGTCTGTGTTTTTCTTGTTTATTTTGTCTGGCCAGTATAGCGTATGAACGGTTAGGGAGGCGAAGTTTGATAATTTAGAAAGGGGATATTGAATTTTATGCCTAACTTGGGGGCTATAGTGGTTTATATTAATTGTCAGGTATATGGCTGCTCCTCCTACGTTGAATTTAATAAGAGAGATCAGTTGGATGATCAACGTGGTAAGATAGAGGAAGATAATTATGCTTACAATTGGTGATTTATCCTCATTTAGAGCAGCATAGACTTTGTATACTTCGCATAAGTATTCTCTTAAGTCAGTCTGGATTGTCTGCAAATTCGTTATTTTCTCGTTCTTCAGGGAGGTTAGGGGACTATTTTGTGTTACTCATACATAATGGTCCATTTAACGTAATATTTATTAAAGGTGTATTGGTTTTGTCAGATTTCTATAATAAGGTGACAGTTTTCAGTAGTCTTAACAATTGAGTACTAGTAACTGAGTACTATCAGTATCAGTCTTAGTAACTGAATACTATCAGAATCAGTCTTAGTAATTGAGTACTAACAGTATCAGTCTTAGTAACTGAGTACTATCAGTATCATTCTTAGTATTGAGTACTATCAGTATCAGTCTTAGTAACTGAATACTATCAGAATCAGTCTTAGTAATTGAGTACAAACAGTATCGTTTTATTTAACTGGAAATATCAGTATCGCTTGAATGACCTATCATTTCAGTCTTAGTAACTGAGTACACGTATCATCTTAGTAACTGAGCATCAGTATCATTTAGTAACTGAATACTTTCTTTTCAGTTTAGAAATTGATATAACATATCTTTTTAGTAACTGGCACTATCATATCGTTTGAACTAGCACTACGTTTCGTCTTAGTAACTGAGACTATCGACAGTTTAGTAAGGTCTAAGTATCAGTCTTAGTAACTGAATACATCATATCAGTCTTTAGTAATTGAGTATAACAGTATCATCTTGAACGGGCATATCAGTATCGTTTTTAAATGAGTACTATCAGTATCAGTCTTAGTAATGAGAACTATCAGTATCAGTCTTTAATAAATATTTTCATATCATCTTGAAAGGTACAACAGTACAGTCTTAGTAATGAGCACACGATCAGTCTTAGAACTGAGTTGTCATATCAGTCTAAGAAAATGAGTACTACAATATCAGTCTTAGAATGAGTACTACAATCGCTTAGTAACTGAGTACTTCAATTCGTCTTAGCAACTGAGTCTCTATAATCAGTCTTAGCAACTGATACTAAAATATCAGTCTAAAACTGAGTACTATAAAATTCAGTCTTAGCAACGAGTACTATCAATTCATCAACAACTGATACTATCAAACAGTTTAGAAATGAGACTATCAATATCAGTTTTAGCAACTGAGTACTATCAATTCAGTTTAGAAACTGAGTATTTAAATTTTCCAGTTTAAAAAAATGGTCTATCAATTCAGCTTACAACGGTACTTCAATTCAGTCTTACAATGAGTCTACAATTCGTCTTTAACAACTGAGTCTATCAATATCAGTCTTAGCAACTGAGTACTATAAATATAAATTGCTTCCTGTGTGACAAATTCACCGTCTTTTTACAAATTTAATAAAAACATTTCAAACATTTTGAGTCCATTAGCGAGTTACACCAAGTAAATACTCGTTTCACACCAAAACTTACAAAGAACAGAATTTTTGACGAAAAGGGAAAAAAATCCTTTCCATTTAGGGCAAAAAAAAGGTTTTTGGGCTCTTGTGAGGCCCTGACTCAAGTCCCGTGGTAAGGCGATCCAGGTTAGGAAAGATAAAATGATAATCAATAGAGAACGAGAAAAAACCAAAGTAAAAATACAGTAAGATATTTTTTTTTCTTCTTTTCCGTGTACACTGAAAAAGATTCGGGGGAAACGAAATTCTGTTTCACTGATAAAATGTCTATACACTTCGAGGTCGTCATAGTTTTACTTCTTTTAAAGGACTTAAATTTAAATGATACTGAACATCCCATTTTCCCAGAGTTCTCCTCTCTCTCTCTCTCTCTCTCTCTCCTCTCTCTTCTCTTTTCTCTCTTCCCGGTTCCTTTCCCAGGTTTCCCTTTATTTTTTCTTTTTTCCCTGTTACATCGATCATGACAAATCACGGAGACTGGAAGGGAAAACCAAAATGCCTTAAGTCTAACGGGCATCGCAAAGACATTTAAAAATACGGGGAGTGATAGATATAAATGTGTACCACCTGTACACGTTTGTCACTGTGTGTCCCTGGGTGCCTGGCTGGGGAGTTGTGTTTCCATGATGTAAGGTAGGATGAGGGGGGGGTCCTGCACCAGTGCCCGCACAGC